TGTGCTGGGTTCATATTCTGGCTGTTCCACTTCCTATCCAGCTCCCTGTTTATGGCCTGAGAAAGCAGTCGAGGACAAACCAAAGCCTTGGGATCCTGCACCTGTGTGGGAGAACCTAAAGAAACCCTTGGCTCCTGGCTTCAGACTGGCTCAGCTCCAGCTGTTGCAGCCACTTGGGTAGTGAACAGCTGACTGAAAATCTTTCTGTCTCTCCTTCTCTCTGTACATCTGTCTTTCCAAAAGAAAAAAAAATTCATACACAGTAACAAAGTTTCCATTTTGAAATGTCTTCTAAGTAGACATTCTGGCCTAGAACCCTTTCTTTTTCCTTCACCTCCAGAGATAAGCATCTGCAAGCAACTATAGTGCTTAGACGCAGTTTTAACAATTTTACTTCCATAACTGGCTTTAAGAGCAATTTTTCTTATGGATTTGAAACCAAGGCTTACTTGGTGTATTCATTTATTTCTTCTGTGATACACCAGTCAATCTCTTTGATATATTGAGGACTAAGATATTGTAAAGAAGGATTTGTTTGTCCTTAATATACATTATATACATAGCAAAGTAAACAAATGAACAGAGCAAAACAAAATGGTGGACAGTAGTTAACCTTGCCTCATCAGAAACGTACTGGTGAAAAGCCCTTTGGACTTTATTCTCCTCCTTCATTCCTGAACCAGCACAAAAGTAATACTGCGCAGTGCTCAGAGAAGTGGTTTATCATTCCATTTCCAGAAGACAGTAAAGCCCAGAATTTAAGTCCTAGATATGACTAGAAAATGGTGGAGAAAGCTAAGAGTGGAAGGCAGGAAAAACAGATTAGACCTTAACTTACAGTTTACAGAACTTTTGAGGGTCTGACAAGGTAGTCTAGTGGCTAATGTCCTTGCCATATATGCACTAGGATCCCACAGGGTTGCTGGTTTGTGTCCTGGCTGTAACACTTCTCTTTCCAGCTCCCTGCTTGTGGCCTGGGAAAGTAGTAGAGGATGGCCCAAAGCCTTGGGACCCTGTATTTGTGTGGGAGACCCAGAAGGAGCTCCTGGCTCCTGGCTCCGGATGTGCTCAGCTCTGTCCATTGTAGCCACCTGAATCAGTGCATGGAAGATCTTATTCTCCTTCTCTCTGTTAATCTGCCTTTCCAATAAAAATAAATAAATCTTTAAAAAAAAGAATTTTTGACTTAATTCTGAAATCAATGTGCACCACAACAAATTTTAAGAACTTAAATAATCAGAGCTATATATCATGATGCTAGATGTTAGCAAAAAGAAGGAAAAATATCACTCCAGGTAAAAATAAAGAAGGCTGAATTACAGTGAATTTATAAGAAAGGAACTGTAGCAGGAAGTTTTGAGGATTTAGGACTGAAGCATAGCTTCTGATAAAAAAAAAAAAAAAACAAGAAATGAAGGGATATAAAGATGACACAAGATGACTTTAGAATTGGTCAGGACAGGTAACTGGAAAGATGAGTATCTTAACCAGATTAGGAAAACATCCTGCTTTCTTGCCACAACATTAAGTGATGCTAGCCTGTTTCCTAATTGTACGGTTGGTTTCCTAAAGAGACTGTCCCAGAGGTCACAGGCCTCTACTTCTCTCTAATGTGATGAATTCATCATCACATTGCCTAGCAAACCTCAGTAATAAATACTTCCAAGAATACATCTGGTGAGTTGAAGCTTTATTCTCAATTTTAACAAAATATTAATCACATTATAGTAAATGAGGTTTGAAAGGCAACTAAAGGGCCTGGCACAGTGGCCTAGAGGCTAGAGTCCTCGCCTTGAAAGCACTGGGATCCCATATGGGTGCCGGTTCTAATCCCAGCAGACCCCACTTCCCATCCAGCTCCCTGCTTGTGGCCTGGGAAAGCAGTCAAGGTTAGCCCAGAGCCTTGGGACCCTGCACGCACATGGAAGACCCGGAGAAAGCTTGGGCTCCTGGCTTTGGATCGGTGAAGCACCAGCCATTGCGGCTGCTTGGGGAGTGAACCATCGGATGGAAGATCTTCTTCTGTGTCTCTCTTGCTCTCTATATATCTGCCTTTCCAATAAAAAATAAATAAATCTTAAAAAAAAAAAACTTGGTAAGAGCCAATATTCACAGACTTCAAAAACTCCTTATATAAAAAAGTGTGCATAATAATGTGAAGGAGGAGTTCAAACAAAACACTAAAATTCTTGTGGAATGAAGAACAGCAAAGAGGTATGACAAAAAAAAATCCTGGTAGTGGTTCTCAGCAGGCCCACTGGGGAGTAAAAGTGAGCAGGGCACAGAACTGGGTTGCTGATCTTGAGCACAAGATTTCTGGCATAAACAGCCTTATTCACAAGAAGGCCAAAACAATTGGTCCCAGCACTCAACAAAGAACCTTATTGTCCCTTTTTTAAACTGATAACTTAGAGCAACTGATGAAAACACAATCGATCTTAACCATACCCATATACAAGTGTGTTAAAAGAAAAACACATACAAAGAAATTTTATATACCTACTGCCTCTATGGCTTACCAAACCCACTTTTCCTTCCAAACAGAAATTTTAGAAGGAAAATAGATAAAACCAAAATAGGAAGTATGAGGTTGAGATTAAAAAAACAAAAGGGAGAAAATTACAGAAATTCAGCTCATTCTCTCCTGCTCGGGTATACAGTAGCTTTGGTGGTAGAGGACCAAGACCCATGTAAGGAGTCAGACGCCTGCTGTCTGGCAGGTCACACAGACAGCCTTCTTTCCCAGGCAGACCTTCCACATCGCTAGTGCAGCAATTTTCTTTTCTTAGGTACAGTTCTTACACAGAATTTCAATTTAAAACAGGTAAGAAGTAAGCAGCGTTGGTGAGATGAAGCAAAGAACAGACCCTCCTGTGCTCACAACTTGTCTCCAGAAGCCCGGTCCTAAGAAGCTATGTGTCTCAACAATTCTAGTTTCAAGAAATGAGTTCTTCAAAGTTTTAGTTTAATAACCTCAATTTGGGAGGAAAAGTAGGCCCACGCATCTGCTTCAGTTTCTATATCTATAAAACAGATCTTAAAGTATCTATAGCTTTACTAAAAAAAAACAGACTAAGTGCTATACTAATAGCAATTACAAAATTTTATTTTTTTAAAGATTTACTTATTTTTATTGAAAAGGCAGATTTATAGAGAGAAGGAGATACAGAGAGAAAGACCTTCTGTCCATTGGCTCATTCCCCACGTGACCACAACGGCCAGAGATGAGCCAACCCAAACTCAGGAGCCAGGAGCCTCCTCTGGGTCTTCCACTCAGCACTTCTATATGGAATGTTAGCATTGCAGGCAGTGCTAAATGTGGTGTGCCAAACACTAGCCTTTCTTCCATATGCTTTCTGAGCTTATCTGGAGATGATCCCCATTCCCAACTTCCTTTAATTTAAAACAAGTAGTAGCTTTTGCTCTGGGCTGTTTTCTAATATATACAAAACCGCATTAATTTTATCTTGATCTTCACAATAAACAAACAATTTATGTAAAGCCTCTGGCATAGTAACTGTAACACATGAAAATTATGAACACTGTTAAGCACAGTGGGTTTGTACTCTGATGATGACTCTGTTTCTATTCTGTATAAACCATCTGTCTCAAACATTCTATGGTTTAAAAGCCTGGAAATGGATTACTTTTTTTTTTAAAGAAGCTTTAATTGCTTATGTCTTTCATGTTTTTGTGCCTTCACTTTCATTGTGTATTTTGAATACAACAAAAGGAAATTATCCTAACCAGTGGCCTAGAGCAGAGTCCTCCTGATTTGTGTTACTCAGAGAGTACTATAAGTAGTATAATCTTTTATTCTACCTTCCTGTGACTTCTCTAACCTAATTGAGCATGGCTAGATTCCATCCTTAAAGTTCTTAGAATGTGTATTTCCTAAATAGTTTCTAATTATTGTACCAATTTATTGTTAACACAATTAAAATAAAAATTTCTTTGCATGCATGGCGCGATAGCTTAGTGACTAAATCTTGATTGCATGTGCCGGGATCTCATATGGGTGCCAGTTCATGTCCCAGCCGCCCCGCTTCCCATCCACTTTTCTGTTTATTGCCTGGGACAGCAAGTGGGGATGGCCCAAAGCTTTGGGACCCTGGATCTGCATGGGAAACCCAGAAGAAATTCCTATTCCTAGCTTCAGATTGGCTCAGTTCTGGCTCTTGTGACCACTTGGTTAGTGAATCAGTGAATCTAAGATCTTCCTCTCTGTCTCTCCTCCTCTCTCTATAAAGATATGATTTTCCAATAAATAAATAAATCTTTAAAAAAAATGAAAATAGTTGTAAAAGCCTGGACTGAACCAATCCAAAACCAGGAGCCAGACTTCCACCCATCTCCCACATGGTTGTCAAGGGCCCAAGTGGTGGTTTAACCAGTGCTACAAAAACATTGGCCCCTAAACCCTAATACACATTGAATTAGATTGTCTTACTTGGTCTCATTTAGAAATACACTTTCTTTGTTATAGCAAAGATAATTAAGGTTTAAATTTAGATACTGATTACTAGATAAAGTGATCATATAACCTAATTTTATATATACAGTATCTATATAAATGGTATGTTATATATGTGTACAAAATTCTCAAGTAAGGGCTAAAAGTTAAGGGCAGACTATTTGAGGGCAAAATCTCATTTTTATTTTCACTAATTTAATTATGAGTCCTTGAACAGCAATTAGGAAAATTAAATGGCCATATAAAGAGTACTCTCTTCAATTTGACTGGAAACAATTGTTCTAATGAACTGCTACTAAAACTATAATTAAACCTCTTGAGAGACAGAAGAATTTGCTTTATTAAATATACTTAATTAGTAGGAGATTAAGTCTGAATAAATACAACAAAACTTAGAACACAGCTAAACCACAGCAAGATAGATTGATCATGATAATCTCTCTTTTTAGCCGTCAGTGGTGGACTAGCAAGCCTCCAGCACCCTGTCAGCGGCCTCACTGATACCCAGGAAGGAAGAAGTCATTACCTAAGGATGTTGGGATGGGAGAGTCTATTCATGAGCTGTACTTCTTTCAGCATGTTTGCCCGGTTACTGCTTAAGGTATTCATCTTAAGAGCCATCACCTGACCCGAAGCTCGGTGGCGCACCTAGAAAATAAAACAGAGTAACAAAAGAGGGTCAAAGGCAGCAGATAGGAGGTCAAAGTCTCGGCATATAGAATATGACAAGAGGTTTCAGTGCCAGTTAAGATAAAACAGACATCTAATTACATTAGAGTCTCACTTCTTTTAATGAAGAATTTATCCCATATGCAGTCAACAACCTGTTTCATATTGACCTGATCAGATGTTTCATAACATTTCAAGAAATCACATATTTTTTTAATACCCTAGGGAGAAATGATGAGTTTTTTTTATTGGTTCCTTATACTGGTGAATTTTAATATACCAACAGGGGAAAATATCATCTGTGAAGTTTTAAGAAAGCACCAAAAAAATATATGCATGGCCTCATCTTACATTTAATATAGTATAAAACTGTCTTTATAAGACATTTGAGTCCACATACTTTAATGCACCATATCCACCAGTGCACCTTAAAATTAGATCTATAAGAAAAAATGCATGGTATGTTAAATACAGAAAGGAGTCAGTAAACCTGTTACAGCTAATGTTGTAGTAACTCAGCCCAAAGTGCCTTATACTCACTTCAACATACACAGCAGACATGTGCCATACTGCTCACACTATCATCTACACGGACTGAGAAAGTCTGTTGATAAAGACATTCACCCTCTCCCCAAGTCAATCCCTTTTACATGTACAAATATTATTCTCTCATTTCAGTAATACTCCACAGGCGTTTATAAACTATAAACTTTACTTACAAGAAAAGTATGTTTCCACCCTCTAAACATGGTCTCATAACAGCAAAATAAGATTACCAAGGGGAATATTTTTTCTTTACACAATGAAGCTCAATCATTCACTGAGATGTGTGTTTTCTGCTGAAGAATTATGAACAAGGCAGCAGAAAAATTACATAAAGTCCTAAAGACCTCATTACTTCTTGGTTAAAAAAAAAAGAATGATTCATTTCAGATCCTGCACAATGTCATCCTATGGACTTTAGGGATGTTGTCCAGGGTGTTATACTTGACCAAATGGGATTCTAGCAGAAAATATGATAACCCACTTATTATTCAATCTCCACAAACTCCCTGAAATAGCCCCAGAAGTTCAATATATCTATGAGTGTGTAATGCACATCTTAGTTTATCTTTGAATTCAAAGACACAGTTTTTCAAAAGCAGCCAGACACAAGGCAGGAGCCACAGAAGCTCTGACTCGCAATACGGAGGCAGAGGCCTGGCTGCCTCCCCCCCTTCTAGATCTCTCAGTGTGATTTGGAATCCAACTCCCTTCTCAGTGCATCAATGATTCTGTTGTCATGCACCTCGTGATTGATGAAAGAAAACTAGCTTTCCTTTTCAGATCCTGCATGGATAAGTTAAAAGAAACATTTATACACAAAGAACTCACTGACAGTATTTTTCCAACTCTATTTACAGAAGACATCTGTGTTTTAATAAGGGCTTTCTATCTGAAAGTCATTTTTTTTTCCCATTACCTGAAAACTGTCATTCTGAGTTTTTAACAAAATGTTCACTTTCAACAAAGCATGCTATTAAAACCCATGTACAATTTCAGGGATAAGCAATTTGCATCTTAAACTAGAAAAAAAAAAGCCCGCTTCCTTAAAGAAATGAACAAGACGCTGATGTTGATAACTTACCTCATCTTGATTTTCAGCTGCATGAAATATTCTTTCTCTTCCTTTCCCCTGGCCCCACTCCCAAATTCCCCTCTTATCTTTGAAGGCCACACCCAAATAGTTCCTCCTCAAATCTTTCTTCACTGTCATTAGGAACTATTTATGGTTTCTTTCTGTGCTCTGAACATTTATAACATCATGTATGATAAGTATAATACTCATCACGTGGTTGTATACAAAGATATCTTCTCATCAGGCATTAAGCACCTTAAGATCAGGGTCTACACTAAATTCATCGTGCTCACTCAGCCTGGTTGGAGTCCCTAGCTATTTTGCTTCTGATCCAGTTCCTTGCCAGCGCACACTCTTGGAGGCAGCAAGCAATGGCTCGAGGACTTGAGTCCCTGTAATCCATGTAGGACAGCTAGATTAAGTCCAGGCTCTGGCCTCACACGGGCCCAGTTCCAACTGCTAGAGGCATTTGGGGAGTAAACCCTCCATGTCTCTTGCACTATCTTTGCCAATAAAATTTTAAAATTGAGAAGAATGCTCAATAACTACTTAAAGTGAATGACTATGGCCTCCCCCCAAAACAAAATGGCATTATGTGGACAAAAATTAGGAACAGTTTCTCTCCTTAGCAAAGACTTACAACAGATGTAAAAACTAAACCCAGAGGTAAAGAAAACATCCAGGGACCCGGTGCGGTGGCCTAGTGGTCTAAGTCCTTGCCTTGAAAGCGACCGGTATCCCATATGGGTGCTGGTTCTAATCCCAGCAGCTCCACTTCCCATCCAGCTCCCTGCTTGTGGCCTGGGAAAGCAGTCAAAGACAGCCCAAAGCCTTGGGACCCTGCACCCGCATGTGAAACCTGAGGGAGGTTGTTACTGGCTCCTGGCTTCGGACCGGCGCAGCACCAGCTGTTGCAGTTACTTGGGGAGTGAACCATCAGACAGAAGGTCTTCCTCTCTGTCTCTCCTCCTCCCTGTATATCTGACTTTGCAATAAAAAAAATACATCTTAAAAAAAAAGATAATGTCCAGATTTGCAGTCACAAACCACAGTCAAATGAATGCATGCAGCTTAAATGTGATTGATAATCTTTTATTAATCTCTTCAGATATATTCAAATAATTGAAAATATTATCACCCTCAATAAAACAAGACACTATACTAGATGCTAAGAAGATTACATGTTAACGTAAGACATTGACTTCACAGATTTCCCAGAAACTCATGCTCCCAAAATGCAATTATCTTGCCTTACATCTTTTTTAAAATGTTTAATCATTTATATTTATTTGAAAAGCAAAGTGTGTGTGTGTGTGTGTGTGTGTGTGTGTGTGTGTGTGTGTGTGTGTAGAGAGAGAGAGAGAAAGAGAGAAGGAGAATCTTCCATCCACTGGTTCACTTCCCAAATGCTCACAACTGCCAAAGCTGAACAAAGCTGACACCAGTAGCCAGGAACTCCATTCAGATCTCCCACATGGCTGGCAGGGACTGAGGCACTAGAGCCATTGACTGGTGTCTCTCAGAAAGCTGGACTGGAAGCAGAGCAGGGCTCCATCCCAGATACTCTAATATGGGACACAAGCATCCCAAGTGGTGCTTTAACCTGCCATGGCACAACATCTACCCTTTGCTCTCCACCTTAAAGTCTCCAAGGGCTCACCACTACCCAAAATATGGTCGAAACATTCTAGCAAAACTAAATCCATCCATTGCTCCCTGTTTATCCACCATCTCCTTAACTTTAGCTATTACATACTGTTATAACTTGTTCCATACACACCATTCTTTCGTATACTTTCTTGCCTTAAAATATGCTGTTCTTTTTTACTTTATGCAGTTCCCAATCTCTCAGCCTCATCCCGACCTTTCTTACAGATTTCATTCAATTATTCATGATTTTTTAAAAGTCACTTTATTTAGGGAAATGCCACTTTACTTCAAGAAAAGTTAGATAACTCCATTCTGTGTTCTCTTAATACAATATCCTTATCTTTATTATAGCACCTTTATAGTATCTGCTGTTAGTGTGTCAATCTATACCTTATGTGGCCCAAAATAAGTACCATTTCATCCATTTCTTTATCCCACAGAGTACTGATTTAGCATGCCATTCACTCCCCCCACCTATAACCTTTCCGATACACAGAATTTATTTTCATATGGATAAATCTAGATTGTTGTTAAAAGATTCCAAACATATGTAGAAAACAAAGGTACAGCAACAGCTATATAGCTAGCAACAGTTGCTATATTATTTACTATAATTATTTACTATAGACTGTGAAATTTTAAAAATATGGATCACAAGTATTTCAAAATGCCTTATCCATTAGCTATTATTTACCCTAACCTAGCTATGTTGCATTTAAAGAAACATATTGACATGTAAATGACTGAATTAGAGATGTACATTTAATTTAGTCTTAATTTATATTTTTCAAACCCAAATTATTTGTAGTTGATGGTACTTAAACATTTTTTAATAACAAACCACATGTGATACACTTCAACCTTTGCTAGTGTAATATGAAACCAACTTGAGAATCTTTTCTCTGGCACAGTCCCTAGCATTTAGAAGCTGTTGATTATTCCAAAAATGCTGAATTTAAATAGCTAACTTGAGTCAGGAAGTTTGTTTTCTAGTAGGAGAGAAAAGCAGAACTTCATGAGTAAAAAAAAATTGTAAAGAGATACTTTAATACAGCAAGAATAACAAGATAAGTTATTACAAAGCAGTTATCCTAAATTTAGCTATTAAATGAGTGACTTGGACTTTTCATCAAGAAGTCACAGCAAATAATAAATATACAGTAAGCTGGTATAGCAACATTAAAGTCAGGCAAAAAAAAAACCCACATAAACTTAAGGGGAAAAATTTCTCAAAAAATAATTCAGCAATATTAAAGCAACTTTGCTCTCTATTCTTCGTTAAGATGCTCACCTGGCCTGTTAGGAATGTTCTTTTCATTAAACTTTGCTACCTTACTCGCTGCTCTCTGAACCATATCTGATATTTTTTTCTTGTGCTAAGTCAAGGAACTCTAACACAGCTGTATCTGATAACATCTAGCTAAAGATGTGCCAGTTTAAGTCCCATCTATTCTGCTTCTGATCCAGCTTGCGGTTAATGCACCAGGGAAGGCAGCAGGTGACGGCTCAAGTACTTGGGTTCCTGGCACCCATGGAGCAATGCTGGATTGAGTTCCTAGCTCCTGACTTGCATTGGCCAAGCCCTGGCTGTTGTTGCCATTTGGGGAATAAACAGGTGGAGGCAAGATCACTGTCTTCTCTGTTTCTTTTCTAATTAAGTAACTCAATTGTTTTTGAATCGAACAAAACAACACTCCCAAATTATCATGAC